GAGAGAGAGAGAGAGAGAGAGAGAGAGAGAGAGAGAGAGACCGACCAATGCTTTGGACCAATGCTTTCAGCTTTAAGCCATGCTTGTCTCTTTTCTTTATGCCTGTCTCGACCACACGCACACACACACACACACACGTACATGCGCTTGCTGTTTCATCTATAGACTCTATATTTGGCACCTATTTGAAACTGAATTGAGTCAGATTGACTAAACAGGGCAAATTAGTGTGAGAGCGCAATCCCATAAAAAGATTTAATGGGAGTGTAAAGTTCTGCGTGTGATCTACTGGCGACGCACAAATGAAAGAACACAGACACAGCCAGATTATTTCAATAATGAGAAGTGCAAATTAGCGTCTGGTTTAAGTCATGCTTTTTTTGGGCGGTAAATAATGGTGCAGATACCAGTAAATTAACTAGCGCAAACCTTAGTAAATCACCTTGCGTGATTTATTTATCCCTCTGGTGCTCTTCACGCTTCGGTCAAAAATGACCAGAATTTTTATTTATTTTTTGTCAATTAAATGAATGTATTATATTTTAGTTTGATAATGTTTTTTTATTTAATAATTTGTTTTTTTAGCTGATTCTTTTATATTAAACTATATTTACGCTGTTTTTATAATCCATTTAGTCACTTTTTGAGCATAGACCTGAAAATGTAATTTCCAACTTTTACGTGTGTTGTTATGAAAAATGCACAAAAATACTATTTAAATTTTTTATATGAAATATATATTTTCAAAATCACATTTTACTCTGAAACTGCAAGAAAATCAAAGCCATTATCTAAACAGGCTGGGTTCCAAATTTGGGCTTGATATCTCAAAAAATGAGCTTTCAGTGAACTTTGTTTGGCTGCAGTACCAAAAGTATTCACCAGATCTCCCATTCATTTCCAATGTGGTCATTTTTGCACAAGTGTGACTATTTTTTACAGGACCATTTGACCTTTTCGAATCATGTCCATGATTTTTTTTTTTTCACATAGCAAGTGCCAAAACCTTAACCAGGATTCGTACCATTCCAATGAAGTAAAAAATAATAAATAAATAAAAAACGTAAAATTTTTCGGTCAAAAACGACTGAAGAGCACCAGATGCTCTCCTCTCATACATTTTGCGTCTGAAAGGGAAACTCCAACAAATGCATATGCAATAAGATCAGCCGCAAAAATAACCCTGTCCACGCCATTTCAACGCTAAGGGGGCTTTCACACTGGCAGTTTAGTTCGGAACGGGGCACGGTTCGCATGAAAAATCGCTAATATGAACGCTGTCATGGGACCCGGGTGCGCACTGGGGTACCGAACCCGAGACTACCTGGAAGAGGTGGTCTGAGTTCGGTTGCTCCCGAACCGTGCCGCGGTTCGCGTGAATGTGAAAGCAACACGGACTCGGGTGCGCACTTGTTCAGGAAGTAAAGTAACCTGCACATGCATTTTTAGCTTATTGTGATGTATTTAGTTAAATAAAACGCTTGTAAGGGATGATAGTGTTGATGATTTACCTTGGATACGAGCGAGAGTGAGCCTGCGTGCAGTGTATTCGTGCATTGCGCGTGGAATCCGGGCAACAAAGTTGGAAATCCACTGTCTCCTAAAAAGAGTCCGTTTGCAAGCAGCAGAAGTCCACCTTATGTGACACACGCACAGTAAACCTGTAGTGTTCACTCACCTGCGCATAATAGCAGCGAATAATTTTTTTTAAAAACACAATATTGACCCACGTTCTGTTTTCTATCATGCGCCGTGCACGTTTGCGATGACGTCATATGCACGCAAACGCACCAGGGTTCGATAGAATCAAGTTGAGTGTGAAACCAGACCAACGCTGCGGGGGGCGCCCGGGAACAAACGCGCTCGGGCTCGGACCGCAGCAAACGAGCCCAGTGTAAAAGCCCCCTAATTTTTCACTGCGTGTCTTTAGTAAATCTTGACGGTAGTTTTTAAGGCCAAAAGAGGGTTTGCACTGGCGCCAGCTGTTAGTAAATCTGTCCCATAGTAGGTTTATGTATGTTTATATTCACACAGCAGCCAAATGGTTGTCAACGTATCTTTATGTAAATATATAGCATGCAGCATTCGACCAATCAGTGACACTGACTCCGCAAATATGCAAATAAGGACGTTAACCCAGAGTTTAGGAGTTTATTCATATATCCTTATGAATACCCAGGATTAATTGTTAACTCCGGGTAATTTGTGAGCAACGTGAAGCAAAATAACCCAGGATTGCTTTTGCCCTGGGTTTAGAATAACCCAGGGTTGAATATATTTAAAACGTGAAAAAACCCTACTGTCGTTTTTTTTCCGTATGTCATAAATTACTTCTGCCTCAGATGAAAAACTATAAATAACACACAAAAATTAATCCGCATCTTAGCGTTTTCATCCAGTGTTTTTTTACGCGAGGTCCCAAAATTGGCATTAAAATAGGTGGATGGAAACATAACTAATGCAGCCTGTGTAATGAAAAAAAAATACTAGTTAAAATTATGAAATTCTTGACAGAATCCTTATCAAGTGATTTAGCATAATATTTTATTATTATTTCTTAGAAAAAAAGCATTAAATATTTAAAAAGGGTTTGTCTTAGTCATGTGATGCAGCCAACATGCAGGGGAAAAACATGGATATTATAGCATGTTTCCCAAAATATCAGATAATGTTTTATGACAAGGCAAGGAAAAATTGTTCAAGTTCAGGTTGAAATTTTTTTAAAACAATTTTTAAAATAATTATTAAGATGTGTACATTAACATGTTTATTACTATTCAAGGTGTAAGGAAAATGTTTTTACTATTTACTTGATCGTTACACCACATATAAAAGTTTTATTTAAAAACCATATTAAACCAACATGAACACAAAAAGGTACATTTCTAAGGAATTTTAAAATATATTGTTCTTTTCTTTATCTTGGACACTTTATTTGTCATTCTCCCAAATGCACAATTCACCCCAAACACTGACTGTGTGAATGCAGTCATATACTGCACATTTACATTAATTCTCACTTTTCCCAGCAACACATAGCACCTTATATATTAAATAATTATGGCAACAGCGTATGTGATGTGTGTTCAATATTTATTGATGCAGATCTGCTGTATACTGGAGGTTTTTTATACTTGTGAATTGAATTCATTGATGTATTATCTTCTGTTTTAAAAAATAATCAGGATTTTTCTATTTTGAAGTAAGTCAATAACACCAAAAAGTGTTGCAAAACATAAGTCTAATACTTCTAAATATTTTCTCACTCACTTACTCACTTTCTCTCTTACTCACTCACTACTCACACTCGCCAACTTACTACTCACTGACTCACTTTCTTGTTCACTCACTCACTCTCTCTTACTACTCACTCACATTCACTCACTCACTCTCTCTTACTACTCACTCACATTCACTCACTCACTCTCACTTACTTTCTCACTTACTTATTCACTCACTCACTCTCACTTACTCTCTTACTACTTACTCACTCTCTTACTACTCACTCAAACTCTCTCACTCTCTCACTTATTCACTCTCTTACTACTCACACACATTCACTCACTCACTTTCTCAATTACTTATTCACTCACTCACTTGCTCACTTACTTCACTCACTCACTCACTAACTCTCACTTACTCTCTTACTACTATACACACACACACACACACACACACACTTACTCTCTCCTCCCACTTACTCTCTTACTACTCACTCACTCACTCTCACTCACTCACTTACTACTCACTCACTCACTCTCACTTACTCTCTTACTCTCTTACTTCTCACTCACTCACTTACTCTCTTACCACTCACTCACTCACTCACTCACTCACTCACTCACTCACTCACTCACTCACTCACTCTCACTTACTCTCTTACTCTCTTACTTCTCACTCACTCACTTACTCTCTTACCACTCACTCACTCACTCACTCACTCACTCACTCACTCACTCACTCACTCACTCACTCACTCTCACTTACTCTCTTACCACTCACTCACTCACTCACTCACTCACTCACTCACTCACTCACTCACTCACTCACTCACTCTCACTTACTACTCACTCACTCACTCTCACTTACTCTCTTACTTCTCACTCACTCACTTACTCTCTTACCACTCACTCACTCACTCACTCACTCACTCACTCACTCACTCACTCACTCACTCACTCACTCACTCACTCTCACTTACTCTCTTACCACTCACTCACTCACTCACTCACTCACTCACTCACTCACTCACTCTCTTACCACTCACTCACTCACTCACTCACTTATTCACTCACTCACTCACTCACTCACTCACTCACTCACTCACTCACTCACTCACTCTCACTTACTCTCTTACCACTCACTCACTCACTCACTCACTCACTCACTCACTCACTCTCTTACCACTCACTCACTCACTCACTCACTCACTCACTCACTCACTCACTCACTCACTCACTCACTCACTCTCACTTACTACTCACTCACTCACTCTAACTTACTCTCTTACTTCTCACTCACTCACTTACTCTCTTACCACTCACTCACTCACTCACTCACTCACTCACTCACTCACTCACTCTCACTCACTCACTTACTCTTACTTCTCACTCACTCACTTACTCTCTTACTTCTCACTCACTCACTTACTACTCACACACTCACTCTCACTTACTCTCTTACTACTCACTCACTCTCATTCACTCACTCACTCGCTCACTCTCACTTACTCTCTTACCACTCACTCACTCTCACTCACTCTCACTCACCATAGGGAATTATATATTTAATAAAACGTACAGCAGCAGCAAAACCAGCCTATTTCATTCTTATGTTCAGTGAGATGGTGGATAATGGTCCTATACCTTTACATTATGAAGCATAAATATGCATACATATGCATAAAAGTATATAATTAACATAATATGATATAATAATATATGATATAAACAAATATTTGTGTTCAGTGGTATTATTATATCTGCAAAACAATTCCCACGATGCCCTAACCATTAATGTTTTCCCCCTTTCAGGCGGATGCAGCATTGAGAGTGTCCGGCCAAGAGCGTTTGGCTCCAGATCGGCCTTTACCCGGCCAGGAGAAGACCTCCCTCTCTCTCCCTCCATACCTGGGTCCAGCTCACCCGTTCAGCATGACCCCCAGTGCTCTCATTCAAGACCCTCGTCTTCAAGCTCAGTCAGTCCCTCACGCATTCTCACACGCCGGCTCATCTCACAGCGTATAGTCTTTTTTCCTCATTTGCTGCTGTTCTCTTTCTCTCTCAGCCTGTCCAGGCAGGTTCCTAACATGCTGCTAGCAGGAGCTCCGCAGGAGGAGTATCTTCGCGATGGCTTTCGCCCGTACGCCTCTGCTGAAGAGTTGCGCCTGCCTTTGCTCCCTCTAGGGCTCAGCTCAGGAACCGCAGCCGACACTCTCGCGTACTTTCACTCAGGATATTTGCCCCATCCCTCGCTTGCTTCATACAGGTATGTGGTGTAGTTTTGGTGGTTCTTTTGAATATATAGTACCTTCCTGTATTAGACCTTGGAAAAACCTAAGAACATGTTGAGCACGTTTTTTATTTTATTTGGTCTTAAAGGGATAGTTCAATTCCGTCACCATTTACTCGCCCTCGTGTCGTTCCAAACCCGTAAGACTTCGATCAACAGAAGTCTGGTGGGTTTGGAACGACATGAAGGGTGAGTAAATTATGACAGAATTTTCATTTAGGTGAACTATGCCTTTAAGCCCAAAGTATGCTTCAGTTTCGATGCAAATGCATATGTGTACCAACCAAATATTCATACTATGCTGATGACGAAATCTACGGTACGTCCACTGTAAAACCAAATTAGCATATACTTTGGGCTTTAGTAGTATTGGTTGGGTCATCATGGGCCTAAATGTCACCTCATACAGGCAATTTGTTTCTCCAGAATCCAGTTAATGCTGATTAATAACCAATATTACTATATATTCACACAAAGAAATGTTTACACAAAGAAATGCACCTCAAAAACATACAGTATTTGGCTGCTGTCAGTTCGCTAAGGTCATTCCCAGAGTTAAAACTCTGTACCTTGAATGCAATATAAGTCATAGGATAAAAGTGTCTGTAAATGTTTATCTCAATAACTATATCTGTATTTGTCCTCTGAGCTGGTAGCTGCTTATATTACACCACAATTATCACATTGCTGATAGTTATTGATAGATGATTAAAATGTTTGGTTACCAGCTGTTTTTTTTTATTTTTTTTGAGGTATTCTTTTTTTTTTTTTTTGTATGTTCTATTGTTCAGTCCTTTACCAAAAAAATACTTTAAAAACCGAGTATTTCCCTATCGTAAAGTGTTGTTTCTGTTGCGTTTATACTATAATAAACATTTATTCAAATTTTATTGTAATGTAAACATCAATATAAAGTTATCCAATTATATTTAATAAATATATTATATTCATTATTCATTTATTTTGTAATATCTTTGATTAAATTATGATTCATTTTATGATTATTAATTATTGAATTCGTTTTAATATTTACTTAATATTATACTTAATTATACGAATATATTTATACTGTATAATATATACTATTTTCAACCCTCTCACTAAACCTAAGAATTAAATGGTCTATTTTTCTGATATACCTTTTATTAACTAAAATAAAATTAATATCTTTATTCTATATTACACACGTTTTGTACTAATTAAATTATGTGATGCATTTTAATAATTGTATATAATTTTGTATAATAATTTAATGAAATTAATTGCACATAATTATTCAACATTTAATTAGTTACCATAATTTTTATGCATGTATTTATGCTACATATATATGACCATTTTACACCAATTAAATAGGCTGTTTTTGCTTTTGCAACTTTTATTATATATATTTATACCGCATTTTATATATATATATATATATATATATATATATATATATATATATATATATATATATATATATATATATGTGACCATTTTCCACTGAACATATTAAGTAGATGATTTTGGTGTAAATCTGCTAAACGCTAAATACTAAATAGACATTGCTATGTAAAAGTAGGCAATGATTTGTTCATGTTCTAATGGTTCTGACGTCCCTAGATTAGATCTTCTTGTCCTCCGTTATAAATAACCCCCTCAGCACGTCTCTTTGCGGGACTGAGCGGAGGTGAGACAGAAATAGGCAGTGATGTTGATGTCGGAGGGCCAGAGAACAGAGGTTAATGAAGAAGCGAGTTATTTCTAGAGGCTGTAATGCTCTGCTCTCTCTGTGTGTGATCAGGATGGAGGACTACTACAGTCTGCCGGCCCTGCGCTCGCATTACTACACGCTTCCAGAGGGGGGAGCCCTGCCGAGCCTACACCCGTCTGCTGTCCACCTGCCCATGCAGGGCGTCTTTTACCCTCCTGACATCACACACCAGTCGCTGTCAGCGCTGCACTCTGAGAGGTACACACACACACACCACTGACGCACGCATGCACACACCACATATAATGGATGTCCAAGATGGAATTAATAATTAAAGTGGTTGCAAGGCAATTGGCGTTGTAGTGAAATCCCTTATGATTTGTTCTGTTTTTTTCTAATTTCTCCAGATTTCATTCAGACTTTGTTTTGTTGGTAATTTTATTCAGCTTTTATGTATCTCTTTATTAAATTACAAAATGTATGTAATATGAATACATTTATATTTGATGTAATACCTAATTAAAATAATGTAACAACAAAATAATTCAATTATACATTTATTTTTATTTTATTATACTAATTTGTTATATATTAATAAAATGTTATTTTGTTTTTATATATTATATTTACAGAAGTCAACATTTGAAGTGGATCAAAACCTTTCATCAAAGTTATACATGAATTGTGAACAATACCCGTTCTTGTCTTAGGACAACTTTGATTCACTTTTTTGATCCACGTAGATTAATTCAAAATTAATTACATTATAATTATTAGATATTTTAATATAAAAAATTTTTATACATTCCTGTGTATGTTTACTGCATAATATATAACCATTTTCCACCCTCTCACTAAATCTAATTGGCTGTTTTAGATATGGCACTACCTTATAATAAAAATAATATAATTTATTCTATATTTATACCAGTTTTTTATTTATTTTTAAATTGATTAATTTTGATAATTATATAGATCATTTAAATTTGATTACATATAATATACAAGATGGAATTAATAATTATAATGTTTCCAGGGCAAGCTATGTATTGAAATATTATTTATTATAATATTAAATATATAGAATATAATTATTTAAAATTTCTTCTATTGTTTGCCGTGAAGACACTTTAGACTCCATTCAAACTTTGTTTTGTAGATTCAATATATATAAATATATATATATAAATCTAGCTATATATGCTGTATTATATATGCAAATCAGATGAATGCACTCCCATTGGCAGTTGCCATGTCACAGGGATGCTCATTTGCATAACGCTAAACTCTTGTGCAGGTGTTTGTGTGTAAACACGATCTTTCCGTCATCAGCATAAGACATTCTCCCATATATATCACACGCACATGTCACCTTGACACACACAAACACGCTTTCGCCATCTTCTCCAAACATCATCAACACTCTCCTGTGTTCCTGCGGACTCTATTCTTCTTGTTCCTGTTGAGAGTGTTGCATCTCACACCATTTGTGTGCGTGTGTGTGTGTGTGTGTGTGTGTTTCGACCCTCCGCAGGCTGCAGATGGAAGAGGAACTTCGCCAGCAGGAGAGGGAAAGAGAACGAGAGAAAGAGAGAGCGCGTGAAATCGAACGAGAAAGGCATTGGGAACAGGAGGTGCGGAGAGAGAAGGACAGAGAACGAGAGAAGGAAAGAGAGGTGGAGATTAAGAAAGAGCGAGGGAGAGAGATCCAGGCGGTCAAGGCCATGGAGAAACGCCACCTGAGCCACGAGCCGCTGGCGAACCAACACTTGATCTCTCATCCGTACGCACACCGGCAGCACATGAAGGAAAGAGCCAAGCTCGAGGACAGACTCGCTGCTAACAGAACGGGTATGATGAGGAGAACAGCCCTGATCCAACAACACACTATTAGCAAAGCACTGAAAGGGGACCTATTATGCTAAATTCACTTTTACATGGTGTTTGAACAGAAATGTGTGACGGCAGTGTGTACACAACCACCCTACAATGCTAAAAATCCACACACTCCTTTTTTAAACCCCCATAAATCATAAGTAGTGTCTCAGAATAAGCCGTTTGCAGTTTCACAAATGCTGACTGACTCTGGCCTATTAGCATAAACTCAGTCCGCCATGTTTATCCTCTCGCCAGAGCATTTAACAGCAGCGTTCAAGTGTTTGAGTTGATAAGAGATTTATTCTTATTAAGGCGAGACACGGCAGGCAAAAAAATAGTTTTTTTTTTCACTGGTCAATTTTGAGATTTCGGGATATTTGTCTTAAAAAATATTTGTCTTCTTTCAGACTTGTGGTGAAAAAAAGTCAGAAATACACATTTAGGTCTTTATTTTACTACACTTTGTCTGTTTGCGTCTGTAGATTTATCATAAATTCATCAAAAGTTGGTGTTGTAAATCATCCATTGCTCCGCGATCGCTGTCTGCACCCTGTCATCACACACACCGTTAGAAAGCTCTCTCTCTCGTACAATGTTGTCGGATCCAAATATGGTAATTTCCTTTTTATCAGCAACCAATCGTGAAAGTAAAAGGGTGCAAATGCGCAATCTCATTGGCTGATGCTAAATCTTTAAAGCTCGTTTTCTCAAAATGACCTTTCTCTCATACTCAAAGTCCGAAATCTCCACTTCGCTAGCACCTATATACACCAAACTTTCCAGTCTTGTACCTAGTAATATTATGAAGACATTTACTGAGGGATTTGTAAATATATTATTCCTAGCCCGATTTATATAACATTTTATTCCAAAAAACATGGCAAAAATCATTTTTTTAAGGCTATTGACAGTATATTCTGATTTATAGGATAACAAAAGTAGATATCCATCAATCCCACTGTAATTTTTTCCCCATCTAATATGTGAACCTGGCTTTATCCAATACTCAGATTTCATTTTTTTAAAATATATGCAAATTAGCGCATATTTAATTAGACAATGCCTAATTTGCATATTTAAACATTAAATTACAGAAAACTTGTAATACATTTTTTTTCTCATCTTAATGTAGGTAATCAACTGGGAAAGTTTCATGGTGATATCTGCTAGTTAAAAAAATTACCCTATTCACCTGTAGTGTCTCGCCTTAAAGTTATTCAGTCAAGAGGAGTGAGTGATTTTCTGTTTCTTTTGTTGTTTGGTTCATATTAACAGCATATATAGCGGTAGTTACTGTATATTACGCTGCTTTCACTTTAATACACAGATCTAATAAACACATGTGATTTCTTTCCCTGCTGTTTACGTTCACAGACATAACCGACTGCGTTTATGTGAACGTTGTGTGTTTTTGACAGTTTAAGCGCAATAAGACGCGAGCGAGAACTTAGCTTAATAGTTAAGCCATAATAGAAACCAAACAGATGTAGTTTTTTGTAGATGTTGGATGTTGTAGATGTTGTAGTAGTATCTGAGGCACTAGCCGTAAAGGCTCCGCCCTCCTCTGGAAAGCTCATTTGAATTTAAAGATACATGCACGAAAACAGCATGTTTTTCCTTCCACTCAAAAACGGTATAATAAATGATCTGTGTGATGTTTCAGCTCCAGCTCAAAATACCTCGGACACATTTTCATGCTCAAACAGAAATATTACACACTAAAGAAAGTAGGGGAAAGCATAATAGGTCCTCTTTAAAGGGACGTTCACCCCAAAATGGACATTTTGTCATGACTTTCTTTTGTAGAACACAATATTTCGGCCGTTTTTGTCCATACAATGAAAGTCAATTGGGTCCAAAATATGCAAGCTCCAAAAAGGACATAAAAGTAGTTCTTATGACCTGTGCACTATATTCCAAGTCATATGAATTTATGAGGAACAGATTCAAATTTTAGCCATTCACATAATATGAATATGACCCGTGATGAAGAAGAAATAACGAAATGATGCGAAAGTGCCAAAGGTAATCAAAATTCATATAGTCTGATGAATCTGGATAGGTCCATGTTGGATGCCTTGGACTCATTATTTTCGCTGCCAGCTGTTAAACATGCTTTGGCGGCAAATCTCATGGAAGTCAGAAGGTTTTATGATTGCGCTCCATAATTGTATAATAGTAAATGAATGAGAGCATTCATGTGAATCCCATGATCCATGATGAAAACACCCTCATGCTCACAGCTAAAACACTTCAAATGGTTTCAGGATCCATTAAGAGGGTCTCTTTCCAAAGCCTTCATCTCTCAAACACCTGGAGAACTCCTCTTCTGCTTACAAACATGCTCAGTATCTCAGCACACAGTTCAGAGCTGTGTTTGAAGCATTTGAGGATCGTTTCTGACGAAATTCTTTAATTGAACTTAAACTTAAAAAAAAAAAAAAAAAAAAAAAA